CATACAGAGAATGGTAAGGACAGCCGAGAAGATTATAGGAAGCTCGCTCCCTGGTATTCAGGATGCTGCTTATAAGCGCTGTGTGCTTAGAGCTCAAAGCATTGTTAGGGACCCCACACATCCATTTTACGGTCTGTTTCTGTTGCTCCACTCTGGGAGGAGGTTTTGAAGTATTTATAGCAGGACTACCCGATTCTGTAATAGCTTTGTTCCCTATGCCATCCGTCTGGTAAACAAGCAAGATTCATTTTTCTCGCCATGTACATGTACACATCCGAACTAGACTGTGTTATTTCTCTGTGTCAGGTATATTCATAATTCTGTATTTATTTATTTTTGTCATATTTATGAAGTCTATATTGGAAGTGGTGACCCTTTGAGAGTTGTCTGCAACGAAATTTCATTTTATTGTATGCCGATTAGTGTACATTCAAAGTGACAATAAAGTTATTATTCTATTCTGTTCTACAGTGAAACAGGATTTGTATTGTTAAGGAAGTTTCCACCTGCCATGAAGGGGCTGGGGTGTTTTGTAGCAGCTGGACAAACCACATTGACAAACCACTGTTGCATTCCGTTGCACAGAATCTCTAAGAAATTGCTCATGACTTAAAATTTTGCATTTTTATTGGGAATAGCCTTTGTTCAGACTTCAAATTTAATGCCAAAGTACAAATGAAGTGGTAGAAATGATGGAAAGTCTTTTACACCCAGCTCATACACCAAAATAGGCAACCTTTTCCCACAGTCGTATTAGCAAATCTAATACTATATGTTTGTGTTTAAGAGAGTATTGCACAATGGGAAGGCATTGAATCTCAACACAGGAAGCCCAATTTGGTGACATTTCCTCTGTAATCAACTTCTCACCAGTTCACAAAGCACTGGGCTGTAAGGCAACACCATTACACGGCCAGTTTCCTTATCTTTTTAAAGAGAACAGACTCTGGGAGACAGATGGTGTCCTTTCAAATAATTCATTATTTAGCCATAAAAAGGCTAGACAAATGGCAGATGAGTGTTTGTACTCATCCAAAAACAATACAGAAGGATTTTCTCTTGCCAACCCATAATCTTTAAGCAAACTTTTTCATTCCATTCGTAGACTTATTTTTCCTTCTTCCTCACTCAGTATTATTGCATTTGGTTTATGTATTTTTAAGTTTTTAAAACAAAGGCTGGCTTAAAGACTCTTTAAGAGAACAACTGGAAAGGTAGTTAAATATCACGGGAAGATTTTATTTTCCAAGACCTACTATCAAATCTTTACTCAGACCACACAGTGACCTTCAATATGTCAACACACTCCCATAAGGTGATGCAATAGAATAACCCTAGGAATGCCATTTTGGACAAATGCATGGCTAATCAAATTGTTGTTGTTAATTGCGAAGTCGTGTCCGACCCATTGTGACCCCATGGACAAAGTTCCTCCAGGTCTTCCTGTCCTCTACCATCTTCTGGAGTCCATTTAAGTTCACACAATCAAATAAGGGACAGATATTATTTATCATAATGATAAATTGGGATGTTGATAACTTAATTGATAAGTTGGGGCGGGTCTTTGCTTGGCACCAAATTGTAGCAGACAGTGGCATAACCTTAACTTACGAGACTGGACAATTACTTGTCTGAAATGGTATAGGCCAGGGTCTCCTGCTTGAGCAGGGGGCTGGACTAGAAGACCTCCAAGGTCCCTTCTAGCTCTATTCTGATTCACTTGATTCACCCTGGTGAAAAAAACTACCAGCCATCTCTCTCCATCGTGAAAGTGAGGTGGGGGGAGTTCACGGGGATGCTTAGAATGGGAGATGCTCAAATGACAGCCAGCACTAAGGGGGAGGAAGTAGGGTAGAACTTCATTGGTGCTCCTCTCTTCTTACTTGCCCGTTGGGTACTTCCAAAACAGCTCTACACTCTTCTTCAAAATCCCTGTGACAGGAAGGAGGAGCAGAAGGGGCAAGCAGCAGAGAGTCAAAAAGTGCCTGATAAGTGGGCTGCACTCATGCAGATATGGGAGTGGTAGTACTGACAATGGGCTATCAAGAAGCACAGCTTTGATACTGTGCCTAGCAGTTCCTGTGGCTGGCCATGGGGAACACACAACTGGGAACTGGCACGAGGATCATCAGAAGGGAGAGGCAAAAAAATACTACCACCTGCCCCACCAAGAGCAGCAAAAAGGAACCCCAGGTAGGTGTGGGAACTGTCAGTGCAGGGTGAGTCTTGGTCAGGGACTCCATCTATGTCAGTGGTGGCGAACCTTTAGCACGGGTGCCAGAGGCGGCACTCGGAGCCCTCTCTGTGGGCACACGTGCCGTTGACCCAGCCTCGCCTCCCCCCGCGACCCCCTCCTCTCCAGCAGCCCCCCTGAAGGAGAGTCGCCCCTGAGTGTGGCCCACCCAGAGCAGCGCAGCCAAGGACATGGCAGCCAGGCAGCGTAGACAAGTCTCTGCCCTCACACCCCATCATGCAGGGCGCAGGCAGTGTGTGACCGCCATAGTGCTGCTGGGCTGTCTGGGCGATCTGTGGCAGGCCCTGGAGGTGGTGAGTGGCCTGCGGGCAGGCGGGGCAGGGGATGGGGTGGAGCGGGGGCAGGGCAGGGGGGTGAAGCAGGGGCGGGGCCAGTTTTTGGGCACTCGGTCTCTAAAAGGTTCGCCATCACTGATCTATGTGCTCGTATGACAGCCCTCAGAAATAATCAAATCAAATCAATCAAATCATTTTTAAAAAATGCAAAATCCCTTCCCGGCAGGAGGAGGAGAAGACTGCAATCAATCACGAAGTAGAATCAGCAAGTCCCCAAGGGCTGAACAGAGCTCTCTTGCCTGGCTTGAGCCAACCTGCTGTACAGGCCGTGTTTGCCATGTGGGAAGTCAGCCCCCCAGAGAAGGAAATATTAAAAGGGCAGAAAAATATATTTCCTCAAAAGGATTTTAAAAGCAGAAACCAACCCTGCCCCCAAGTCTCTGTCTCAAGTAAAAGCCAGCCCTGTACAAATGCAGATGTAAACCATCAGGAAAGTTGGAGCTAGAAGCTTAGGAAGACAAAGACACCTAAAATCTGTATACCCCACCCAAACTCCAGGAGTCATTAGCCCCAGCACCAGGGAAGCAGGATATATAATAGGATTAACCCACCACCACCAAGAATACCAGAAAGGCACACCTAGACTCATGTCAGAATACATGACACAGTAAATACAAAGCCTGAAACAGGAACAGGAAACTACTTCAAACAAAAGGCTCGAGAGGATATAAAAACCTAATACCCACATGTGCTCAGTCCTTTTTCTCTCCTCTTTCCTGCCAGAACCATCTTTCTGTCTGGCTCTTCAATAAACTGCAACCTTCTTTCTAAAGCAGTCGCCATGTTGTTTATTTATCCCCGGCTTGGATGAACCAGGATGAAGACTTTTCTTTCAACAGCCAGAAGATCTGGCAAGGATCACACAAAGCATGAGTCAGGCATTATGTCTCCCCCACAATCCCACGGGGTAACCTGGCTACAGGAGTGGCCAGAGGAGAAAAGATGTGTCCACAGCATCCCCAAGAGAACAGTACCAACCATGCAGATTCCAACTTCTGATCATATCAGTCACCTGAGAATCCCAGCCGATATTTGGTAAGAAGAGGGCCTTTTGGGGGAGACAAATGTCGCCAACTCCTTAATGTAGTGTTTCTCAAACTTGGTAACTTCAAGATGCACGCTGGCTTGAGAATTCTGGGAGTTGAGGTTCACGTGTCTTAGCTGCCAAGGTTGATAAACCGTCTTAAAGCATCAAATAGGATTAAAAAAGAAATCCAACATAACATTAAATCCTAATTGGAAACAATTCCTTGAGCGTAATTGAACGTGTGGTTCTGTACTATACCCCCAATTAGATTTTTCTACACAGAGTCTATAACTCAACTTTCTGGGAAATTAGATTTCTAGTATTGATTCATTATATTTTACAGGGTAGGATAATGATTTATGCCCCATTAAGCAGGCATTTTTAAAGTTTAATAGGGATTTTCTTTTTCTTCAAAGAGATAGGTTTATTGTAATTGCACTAGTTTTTGGAAAATAGTATTTTTTTTTCTATTTTTCTATTTGTTTATTTTCTTAACAATGGTCCATTATTTGCATTCTACGTTTTATTCATTTTACACATTTTTTTGTTTCTATTCTTTCTTTAAAGCCTTTCATAAAAAGAACGGTTAAAAAAATTAAAATCAAATGGAAAACTGCACTTCCCTACTGTATACAACTCTCAGAAAGAGGGCTTACAGAATTTCACTGGCTGGGGAATATTGAAAAATATTGATTGAAGTCAGGGGTGTCGAACTGCTGGCCCATGAGGCCACGCCCACCCCAGCTCCAGCAATGCGGAAAAAAGTCACGATACGTTGCGACACGTCACGTGACGTGGCGAGTTTGACACCCGTGATCTTAGTGATCAAATTGCACCCTTGGTTTCTATGGAACAGGGAGCAAGGAAAAAAAGAAAACTAAGGCAGAAAAGATCCAATTTCCTTTGGGTACTGATCATGTCGATGGTAGCATGTCCAATTCACCCAGACAGATTACGCCGAGAGCATACGAATGTTGTCAAAACATTGTTTCTCGTTCCTGGATTATTCAAAGGAGAACAGTATGACTGACTGACTTTGGAATGGGGAGAGCCATGTTCAAGTCCCAAACAAAATGATTTGGACCCAGTCACTTCTTCTCAGCCCAGCCCACCTTGCAAGACTGTTGCTATTGACTTACTTCAGGAAGTATCTTTATGGAAAGTTTGTGGTGCACATTGAATCCATTTTTTAAGAAGAGAAAGTTCAAACTGCAGATTGCAAAGGGTTTCAAGTCCGGTCCATTCTTAGGCTATCCAGAGTGCATATTTTATGATTAAAGATTGTTGTTCCTTTGCAGGCCATCAATCTCTGTCTTAACGAGGAATCCCCATTTGCAAACCAAGCTTTATGGGAACCAACAACTCTACACACCCAGAATTTTCATCAGAAAAGATCTATTTTATTCAAAACAGGCAACTATGCCATCAGAGATTTACAATATACGGAGTGAAGTCCTGGGATAAGATGAAATCAAAAAGGAAGCAACGCAGTCAAAGATTTAGAAAACAGCCTTAGATTGGAGCCCCCCCCCCAAAAGATGAAAAAGAAAGCCTAGATGTGTCTAAATCACGGCAAAAAGGAGATAAAATCACTCCTGTAAAATCTGGAAAACGGGAGCTCTCTTTTCCCAAAGGGCTCTCTTATCATTCTCATCCAGAATACATTTTTAAAAACCAGCTGCCACGTCACAATTGGCATTCCTATAAGGTTTTGTCCTTTGCAATGACCTTGCCAGGAAATTCAGTGTTACTTCCATTACACTCTTAAGGTGATGGGACTGGAGCAGTTTATCAAAACATGTTCAGAAGTGAGATGTGGAGCTCAGACTAAACCTATGCCAAGCTCCAGATAGGGCACTTTCTTCTCAACAATGCCAGGCCATTTGCAACCCCCCCCCCACTGCTGGAATAAGGCACTTTCGCGCAACAGAGAAGATTGTAAGGAACAATTCTGCGGCAGGCGAAAGTAGAACACGGATATTCCAGGGAGCAAAATTTCATTTCCAAATGGGCTCAGAGCACGGAGGGGTTTACAACACAAAAAGCAAACAGAAATCAGCCGTTCCCAACCTGGTTGGTTCCAGATTATTGGACAACAGCTTTCATTCTTGAACCGGTCTCACTCACTTGAGATAATAGGAATTGCCTACCGACCCAACTGAAAGCCACCAAGTTAGGAAACTGACTGGAAATACAACAAAACATAGGAAGGAAAAAATCAAAAGCAGTTTCCTGTCACACTCCTTGCAGTCTCTGGAGAACTTCATTCACTCTGCATTCTTGTACTTCGTGAATAAGTTGTATAAAACCCTCAGGGTGGACTTGAGATCCAGGTTGACGACATCTGAGGGATAAGCAAAAAAGACAACATGTAGTGGCTTTTCTTTACCAAAACAGGCTTTTGAATTGCAAATGAAAAAGGGGAAGCACACCACCATTACGGAAACATCAAACTCTGATGATAAATACCATATAGGAAAAGCAACTGGTATTTTTTACATTAATTTTCTTTTCCAACTAATACTAGAGCCAATACAACTAAGGAAACAGCAAGTATCACATTTCCCTTTTCCTGCCAGTTTCAAAGATCTATAAAGCAGTGTTTCTCAACCTTGGCAACTTTACGATGTGTGGACTTCAACTCCCAGAATTCTCCAGCTAGCGTTGCTAGCTGGAGAATTCTGGGAGTTGAAGTCCACACATCGTAAAGTTGCCACGGTTGAGAAACACTGCTATAAAGGATTGTTTTAAAGGATTTTATAACTGGATTAAAATCCACCTGTAAAGGCAGTAAATCACAGCATTGGTTTTAGGCAATTGTGCTACCAAACTCTGGCATTGTGGCATAGGAGACTCCAGGCTGGGGGCACATCAAGGCTGTTCCCCTGTCTTTGTGACAATTTCACTCTTCTAGGTGCACATAAAAATGGTGAGAACATTAATATTCAACAGGTGTTGAAATACACTTACTAGAGATCTTGGTAATTTCTAGGTTTGGAGCTTTGCTAGCAAGTTGGGGGTGGGAAATGGCTTGACTTTGAAATTTCCAGGCTTCGCAGCTTACTGTTTGAGTTTATTCTTATAAAATGAAGAGTAAGAAGCAAGAAGCCGATCAACCCCATATGACAAAAACAATCTGTTGGCCTGAAAAATGAGCAACTCAACAGCTTGAAGAAAAAGGATCCAAAAGAAAAATGGTCTACAAAGCAAATTGTACACATAAGATAAAAAATCCGTAGAAAAGATTTCCTCCCCATGGGAAGAATGGCAAAGGGGAGGCGAAACCAAACTTCATACGGCTATAAAGAAGACAAATGTAATGTTCAGCTGTTTATCTAACTGCAAGTTCTCCAAAACCAATCTGGGATTTTCATAGCTGTAAGATTCCATAATATTTTCATTCGTTACTTCGCTAAATAGGTTAAGGAAATGCTTCTCAGATCTGTAGATAATACAAAACTTGAGAGAAGTGGGAGATGGGAACAATTCAACGTGAAATGGATTTTTTTCAATGCCGTTGAAACTCTGAATAGTCATTAAAACCCTTAAGTCAAGGGTTACCTGTAAAAAAACATTTCTTTCCAAGGCGCCCGAAGGCAGGACAAGAAGCAACGGGTGGAAACTAATCAAGGAGAGAAGCAACCTAGAACTAAGGAGAAACTTCCTGACAGTTAGAACAATTAACCAGTGGAACAACCTGCCTCCAGAAGCGGTGAATGCTCCAACACTGGAAGTTTTTAAGAAGAGACTGGACAGCCATTTGTATGAAATGGTATAGGGTTTCCTGCCTGAGCAGGGGGTTGGACTAGATGACCTCCAAGCTCCCTTCCAACTTTACTATTATTATTATTATTATTATTATTATTATTATTATTATTATTATTATTATTATTATTATTATTATTATTATTATTATTATTTCAGAATTAGAATACACTGACATTTAACATTATGGTGTCTGGAGATATCAAGTTAATTTCAGTTTGTCCATTTGTGTTTACAGTAGAATGACTTTTTTATCTTTAATGCTAGTTTTGGTTTATACCTTTATGGATTAAATTTCCTGTTGGCATCAAGTTGAAATCATGCTTGGTTAATTTCAGTGATAGTTTCAGAATTATCCTAGTATTGCGGATATTTATTAGGGATAAAAATTCTTATTGGCATTAGAGTGAATTTAGGATTAGGGGTTCTCTGGGAAGAAATAAAGCCTTTTTTTATCTTTAGTGCTAATCTAAGAACCATCTTGGGGTACAGATTGTGTTGAACACTTCGAGCTAAACATTCCTGTTTGGAATGAAGTACAATTTGAGGTTAAGGATAAACATCCTTGATGTTCTCGCTTTTTATTTAATGGCTTTATTTATGGTGAGGTTTTATGGTTAGTGTTGTCTGGGAATTGTCCAGCAGAACAGTTTTAGTTTACACGTAATGCTTAGGGTTTAAAATTCCCAGTGGCATTAGGGCAGACAGGATTAGTTTAATACTGTTCTCATTTGCAAGAAGCAGTTGTTCATCTCCTTCAGTCAGACATAAAAACCCACATGGAAGGTCCTAAGTTCATTTTCTGAGAACTCAGGTTTTCAGGCAGTACCTTCCGGTTGCGCTTTTGGTTTCTTGAGCCCGGCATCTTGCATCAGCTCAAAAGCAAAGGAGACATTGTGAACCTGAAGAAGGAATCAGACAACATAAAGATGGGATTAGATTCTTGTAACGGCTAGTAACCCCTTTTCTGAGTAACCAATGTTACGAAAAGGCAAAAGCTTTCATGAGTTGAATTCATCCAATGCAAGGAGAGGCCTAAACTTTGTATTCTTCACATTATGCCGGTGATTTTCAACTGTAGGAATGCTGAGATGTGTGAACTTCAACTCCCAGAATTCTCTGGGCTGAGAAATTCTGGGAGTTGAAGTCCATTTTGTCGACCCCGCGGGCCCGACATTCACGGGCAGGACGGGGACCCGTCTGCCAAGCTGCCGCCTCCCCCAGCGCCCTCCATGCCAGCCGGAGCCGTCGCCGGACAACCGAGCTGCCACCTTCCCCAGCGCCCTACACATCAGCCGGAGCCGGACATCCAAGCTGGTAGGCGCGAGTCTGGGGGGTCACCAGCTGACGAGCGCATCTTCAAGTTCCCAATGTTGAAAAATAGTTGACTTAAGCTCATCTAAATGCGTTCCACTTATGTATTGTCTGTTTGCAGGGGTGTCCACTGGGTGTGGTCAAAAAAACTCAAGATGGCAGCAGCAATGATGCAACTGAAGTTCTGTCCATTTTTAAAAAAAAACATGTCATAACTAGACAAAATCTCTGACTGGGCAGTTAACAGCCTTATTTTTTTTCCTGCCTACTTTTCTTTTGGGCCTCTTACATCCAAGGTTGCCTTCCCTTCAGGTAAATATGGATCACATTGAAAAGGCATTTATTGCAGGTCACTTACATCACTCTGGGGCAGGGGTAGGCAACCTTGGCTCTTTTATGAGTCGTGGACTTCAACTCCCAGAATTCCTGAGCCAGCACGGCTGGCTCAGGAATTCTGGGAGTTGAAGTCCACGAGTCATAAAAGAGCCAAGGTTGCCTACCCCTGCTCTGGGGGGATCAGATCAGATATACAAAAGGAGTTAATATAATGAACCAATTGGTAACAGAACACGTGCCCTCGGTTCAACTCTGCTTCCAGGGACAGGTGCATGTAGAGATAGTCTTTGACTTACAATGACTTGTTTAACAACTGTTTGAAGTAACAATGGCATTGAAAAAAGTGACTTCCAACTGATCGTCACATGTTACGACCATTCCAGCATCCTCACAATTATATGATCAATATTTGTGCAGTTGGCATCCGGTGTTTATTTATGACAGTAGCAGCATCCCAGGGTCACGTGATTGCCGTTTGCAACATTCCAGCTGACTTTCAACAAGGAAAGTCAATGGGGAAAGCCAGATTAACTTAACAACTATGGCAAAAAAAAAGGTCACAAAAGTAGGCAGGACTTAACCAATGGACTGCCTGGCAAATGGAAATTGTCTTGGCAATGTCATAAAGCATGCCAACTTGCTCTGGGGTGTCTTTTAATTTCCCACTTTAAACTAAACTCTGGGATTTCCTTGGATTCTCATCCATGTCCTAATCAAGTCTGATCCTGCTTAGCTTCCAAGTCTAGACAAGACAATCTGAGCATCCGTACCATCCATTACATCTTAATGAAAATAAAACGAATGGAGTATAAATGTTAAGTAACCACCTTGGTTGAGGACTACAGTATATTATAAAAACCCTGAGTTGTCTCACATTAAAATGAGCAGCATATACATTTGATAAATAAATAAAAAAAGCGGAGCTAGGGTTAAGTCTAATAATTCTGCAGGATCCATGACATTTATAAATGCATGTGGGTGAACAAAAAAAAAATGTTTCCTTGTAACAGGACAATAGTTTTCCACAATTCCCTCTCTTTCTTTCTCTCCCTTTTTTAAAAAAATGAGCTAGTATTAAGGATTACATTGGCACAGCAGGAAACAATTCAATTCAAGTTATCCACAGCAATGTAACTTGGGGCAGTAAAAACAGGGAAAGCCCTCTTGGAATTAATGGTGATTTTAAAAGGTTGATTGATTGCACTTTCCAATTCTTGCTGGGTTCTCATTCGTTACTGCTGCCTCCTGCTGGTAGTACAAGGCATTGCATCAGCATTAAAGAATTCCAAAGGTCTATGT